TCCCAGTTAGAGTAGGGACCCAAGGGAAGGTTTTCCTACTACCGGAGAGAGTGAGACTGAGTACAGCCTCGGGAGGATGGAGATAAGAGTCTTCATTATATTTTAACTGCTAAACTCGGCCTGGCCTCCAGGTATACTCTTAGACTCACAGTGGAATTATTTAGTTCATCCCAGACTGTCTGTGCTTTAGCTGATCTGATAACTCCTGTCAGCTGCAATCAAAAGTACATCTTTTAATCCTGTTTTCCAGTTTGCATAGTGGCTACTTTGTATCTCTTTAGTACTCAGAGTGTTGTCTCAAACTGGCCTGCCTTCTTCCCCAAGCCAATGGGCAGTGGATGCCCATTCCTGCAATTACAGCCTACCTTGTATCTCAGACCTTGTGGGATTGTCCAGGAATCTCACTTGATAACTTCTCACCGAAGTCTTCTGAATAAATAGAGGAATGGCTTATTGTTTTTTAAAATATTTGTACTTTATGAAACAGTTTGGCTTCCTGAAGACAACACAACACCTTAACATTTTGGAAAGAATCAATGAAATCTACAGAATCAAGGTACAGTAGACCCTTGACTTACAAACTCTGATCAGTTCCCAAGGGCTGGTGTAACTCAAGGTCATTGTAAGTCAACACAGCTGAGATCTGGATGTTTACCTGGATATACACTACAGATAAGAGGCAGATGAATCTTCCATTTACCTAATTAACTCAACTTGTTTGTATGTCAGGCCAGTCGTAACTTGAGGGTCTACAGTATAGACACCTGGGTTATATGCATGTTACTGCAAAGTGGGTTTTAAAAACACTGAGTTCACTTATTTTAAAATACGCATTGCTCGAAACACAGTCTTTGTAAATAGGGAAGGGTAAAGAGGGTAAAGGGAGGCAGGAGTATGGGGAAAAATAAGAACCAGGACATATCATGTATAGGTACGAGATCCCAGTGATGAATGTAACTATTGTTTGCTTTAAATGTACCAATAAACTTAATGGGGGAAAATCATCCATTGTTCATTTCCTGTGAGCTAGGCATGGTGTGAGCAATAGTACATACTCAAAGGCAAAAGAAAACGGCTTCAGTCTTCAAGGAGAATATTCATTGTCCATCAGAAACCCTGGCACAAATCAAACAAAAATCCCTACATGGATGAACTGACAACTATAATCAGTGCCATTCCTTGACCATATAAAATGTGAAGACTGTTCAGAGAGCAGTGAATCATAGACTGAGGGGTGATAGGAGTATAAATAGGAAGGCTGACTAGGAGTTAAATAGATGAAAGCAAGAGAGCGAGGGTAACTTCTAGGAAAAATGAAATCTTTCCAGGAAAAGAAATAGTTTTTTGTTTTTTTTCCAAAACTCCTCAAATGGAAAGGTATAGGTGAAAGCAGTGGCCAAAAATCTAGTATCCCTGACAGAGACTGCGTTAAAGGGAGTATAGTTTCTGAAAGAACGGGGTCGATTCCTCCTTCCCCTGCATCAGAGTCAACGTTCCTGGAAAGTTTGTGCGACTCTCTGTCCTACATCTAAGGAAGAAACAAATCAAACTGAACTAATCCTGGAGGCAATTCACACCTGGCGATAAAAGACTGAGCCATAATAGGTGGAACTAATCCAATGGCCCAGATATGTTTGAACAAGTTAAAGTGATTATTTACAAAGGGATAACATAGGGATCCTTGTTTCAAGGAGGTCAAAGTTGCTCTTAATTCAAATGAACAATATCAGGACCTCCTATATAATAATACTAATCCTCGGAGAAGTGGCAACAAGCAAGTCAAACAGAACTCCTCGCTTTCATGGAGTTTATATTCTAGTGAAAAACGAACTTTTCTAGCTTATATAATCCTCACGATCAGGATTTTTAACTGGCTTTTGTGACTAGCAACCATGAGATTCGTACAGAAGAAGACATATTTGCACTGTAATTTTTTCAAACACTGAAAGTGGAACTCCCTGAAAAGCAAAAGAAGTTACCACTTATAGAAGAATGCAGAAAGAGTGGCTGGTGTGAGGGGTATTCAACAAGCTACTGGCAAAAATGATGAGCTGAGAAACAAAGAGGTTGATGAGTGATCAGTCGTGCCCTTTGCCAAACTGAGCACTGAGTAATAGAGTACTGGATACCAGCGGTGCTTACATTATTTGAGCACTGTCTCTGTGCCAGGCACCCTGATACCTGTGTTTACCATGTACTTTGTTATTTCACATAATAACCAACAATCATACAAAGAAGAGAATGACACACTGTCAAGCTATAATATTTTTAAAAGTTAAAAAAGAGGATTAAAGGTCAAGGATTTTATTTGACTCACTGATTCATGAGCAAATTGGCATGATGGTAAGACTACTTCCAGGAGTGTTTGCAGAGCTCAGCATTTGTAGATATTAATAAAGAAATGTTAGCAGGAGGTTCCTAGGTGTGACACAAAACTAATGATGTCCTATAGTACAGTGTACAGTCACGTTATTTCTACTATGAAGAAATCATTTTTATTTTTACTTGACAAAAACTCTCCCAAGTTAATCGTGTGACTTTACTGACCCTGGGGCCAGTAGTCTAGTGAACAGTAAGTTCACACATTCCTGTGAAACACTTCTTGAGAGGATCTATTAAACAGTTCTCGCATATGACACTGAAAAAACATGGCAGTCTTTGGGTCTTACTTTCATGTCTTAGATAATGCATCTAAAAACAGAAGAGCTAAGTCATCTTTCTGGAGCTTCCAGCTAGTTATCCGGAAGTGTGATGTCAAGGTGAGTTCCTTCTCATCAGATACCCACACCGAAGACAGCCAACTGGACAGACTTTGGGGACCCAGTGAGTGACTGAAGTCACAGCACTGTCATTTGTCTTATGTGTCAAGGCTGAACTTTGTTTTTGCAGTGATTTTTTTAAATTTAACTTCCTAAACATTTGTAAAGTGCTGGAAACTAAGAATTCCATGCGCTACTTCTTTTGTTTCCCTGGAGGAAACTGGGCACAGCAAATGTGATTAATAGTGAATGGTTCATTAACCACTTGGGACCATGGGCTCAAAGACAAAAGCTAGGGAACCCCAGATTACACAGACAGAAATCTGATTCTTTAGAATTCATAGCAGATGTCTTTTCCCAAACATTTTCTTTCTCGATTTGTGGGGTTTATTTTGCTGCCGCTCGTGTTAATTTAGGACACTGTGATTTTTGAAGCTAGGAACTGCAGTTGTTAATGCTCTTCTGTTCTGTTTTTACAGTGCTAAGGCTGAGGTCTGTGGAGGTAGGGTCCAGCTCTGCAAGTGGCACTCTGTCCAGTCTCAGAGCCGATTGCACAGTTTATCTCACTCTTTTCCTGTCCTGTGAGCTCATGTTACGTGAAAGACTTCCGTATTGTTATTTAGGGAATAAATAAAAAGTAGCTGTGTGCCTGGCTTAAAGTTCCACTAAAGCTTTAGGATACTTTTTTGTGATTAAGGAGATAAGCCTTTATGATATAAAGGTAAAGCAGCAGAAAACTTAATTAATCAAATAGTTTATCCCAGCACTCTTACTAGATGGAAGAGCACAACTTTGCATTGAAGTAAAAGAAAGGGCTTTGTTTCCACTTCATTAAAAATGTGAAATTGGGCCAGGGATTTAGCTCAGTGGTTCTGTCCCCTGCCTTGCAAGCGCAAGGACCCAAGTTCGATCCCCAGTACAAAAAAAAAAAGAAAAAAGAAATTGATTTATATAAGTACCATCATAAGCATTTGCATGGGTTATCTCAGTGGGTCCTCCAACTATCTATATGGTAAACTCTGCTATTGTACCCACTTCACAGATGAAGAAATCAAGGTACGAAGAGTTAAACAGGCTCACAGGAGTTGGTAAGAAGCAAATATGAGATGCAGGCTGCCTGAGTAAAAGCCCTGTCTGAAGGCCTGAGGACACTGCTTTCTCATATCATGCCAAAACAGAGAAAGCACACGGAGGAGCACAATTGCCTTTTTTAGCCACAGCTCTGCAATAACTGTCTCAGCACTTCCGGGGGAGTTATCCAGTTTTTTCTGGGCTTCCTTCTCCCTGTGTAAGATGAAGGCTGGAAACAATTTGGATTGGGTGGTCTCTGGGGTTCCTTCCAACTCTAAAGTTCTCTGATTCTGTAATTGCATCCTGACCTTAGATGTGTAACACTGACACACACACTGCTTCACAAGGCAGAAATCTTATCTTGCTGAAATGCCCACTAAAATCTCATGCTAAGCCCAAGACCCCATTAAATGCTATTATTTACAGCGGCTCCTTAGGAACACACAACACTTATAAAAATCTGGCAAGCTAGTTTTTGGTTTTTTTAAATTGCTAGTGGGGTGTAATTTTTGGAAGTAAAATATGAATAATTCCCCCCGAGAAAAGAAAAAAAACTTAAAACAAATACTTAAATTATCGCTCATCTGCAATGTTTCCTTGACAACTTAGCCTCAGCTCTTTAGATATGAGACTTTTTGGTGTGTGAAAGGAGGGATGTCTTCCTCTTGTGGCTTGAGAGTTCCTCCTGTTTTATGGGAAAAGGGAAATGTTAAAGATAAAGCACCAAATCCAGGGGAAGGTGCCCAGCACATCTTGAAGGTGTGTCGCCCAGAAGTAAACACAGGTGCCCAGAATCCAGACGCGCTGCGAGTCCTCTGCTTCCCAACCCCTTAACACCCGCACTGCAACAGCCTGAAAACTGTCACCCTTTGGACCAGCACGGCAATCGAGCAGAGAGCAACAGAAGTGCCTGCAAAAATAATTGTATTATTTTTAGCTGCTGCAATGATCGCTGTGCACATCAGTCGCGGGCACAGCTCTGCAGAGCCAAACCGGGTCTGAAAATGCTAAAAATACTGTTTCGCCCTCCAGCAACTGAAATTTTGAGCAAAGACTCAGGAAGCTGCAGGTAGGGAGATCAAATTAGAATCCGTATCTCTCAGCTGTAATAAGCTCCTTATCAAGCCTGGCAAGAGCGCTCGGGGCTAACGGAGGTCAGCTGGGGACTGCACGTGGCAGGAGTAAGTTTTAAAGGGGCAGCGTTGAGCGAGGAGAGAGCGGGCTTTATCTGAGGCATCTTGCACCCCAGAGCGGAGCCCCTGTCAAGCATGGCTGAGCGGTCCGGATTGGCTCTGGAAGCGATTTCCCCGCCTGGAGTAGGGGCCCAGCCGTCGCCATGAGCAGGGAGCGAGCCCGTCCCTTGACACATGTGTTTCCCATCCATAGCTGGAGGCAGCCCAGGGGCTGCGAGTCAGCCCGCCACAGCCAGATTGAAGTGTAGACAGAGTAAGGTTTCAAAGCAGCCCCAAGGAGCACGGGAATGCTGTTCAGGAAATTCTTCAGGCATGGGCAGGGACTTGGCTACGGCTCTGCAGTTGGAAAATCTGACTCGGGCAGCCTCTGAGCACAAGCGGGGCCTAACACACTCAGCAGGCTGCGTGGCAGCCTCCAGCACAGCTGCTCAGCACGCCCGACCTGGGACGCTTACCCTCGGCTGCTTTGTGAAACAGAGGAGGTAGGAGACGTTCAATCCTTGGCTTTTCCCTGCCTCTCTGCATTTTCCAAGCCCTCTCTCTGACTCTGGTTCCTGTGAGGCGCTCCGAGTGTGTGTGTGAGTGTGCGTCTGTGTTAACTAATAAGTTGCAACTGAATCCTTTCGGCATTCGGTGTGGAGTTCTCATCTTTGCTTTCTCCAGCCCCCTTGGAGATCAGATTTTCAGCAAGGCAGAGGTGCTTTGCAAAGTTAGGACTTAGCTGCTAACATCATTGTGAAAGGGAGAACTATTTGGACTTTGTGCCTGGTCACCAGGCTTCAAACATCTGTAACTTTTCCTTTCTGCCTGGAGGGACAGTTCCTTAGCGGTGAACTTTACATGGAAGTGTCTGTGTTCAGAAGAGTTTTAAAAGGGTGTGTTTTGGCAGGAAATGGCTCTCGTTTTTTTTGGAGGGAATTAGAGTTGAAAGTCTCTATTTTGGAACACAGTGTGTGTGTGGAGAAACAGATAGACATGTATGGATTCCTGGCATCTTATTTCTATAATGTGTTTTTATTTTTGTCAGGTAAGATTTGAATGTCAATGATATATTTACCTAGATATGTGCCAGATTGTAATTCTGTTTCTCTAATCATTTCCAGTTTTATTTTTTTCCCAATGTAACACTTACAGCTTTCAAAAAACTTTTTTTGTTATTATGTTCTAAAACCATACAGAAAGCAGTAATTTACACAAAGTCATTATCAAAAGATGGAGACATACAAGTGTGTCACTTTATTGATCAATCGGGTTTATTTTACATCTAACTGAAACTAGTGCTCTTAAAAATTCATATTTTAAATAATTTTCAGCATAGACTGAAACCTGTTTTGCCTTTTCAGTGTAGTTTTCCTTATGCAGATCAGCTATTTTGTAATGCAATATTTTTACCTCCTATAAAAGATACATGTTTGTATATTTAGTACTTAGAGTGTACACAGGACGTTGGAATGGAGTTTAAGGGACCAGTGTGGCTCATTTATAACTGTACTAAACTTCACTATTCCTAGTAACAGGGCCTTTGCGGTGGATTTCTATGAAAACAGGTGTGAGTTTTTGTCAATGTCCTGTAAGCTCTAAACATGGAGTTCACGGGGACACAGTGAGTTAAAGGGGCAGATGTAGGGTAGGGGCTGGGTTTCTTCTTCCTCAGCGTGGGTTGAGAATGGGGAGCCAGAAGTTTGTCCTATTGGTCAAAGATGAGGATTTTTTACTAGCTTTTTTGCTTTTCTGCATACATTTGTATTTGGAAGAGGGAAATGGCATATGCCTGAGAATAGGGTATCTTGTTGTAACAAGAACTCGCCGAAGTTTTCTTTGTTAATCTCATCTGTGTGTCAGGCTGGAGTAGTTGCAGCAGTTTTAGAAGTGTAGGGTTCCCTACAAACCAGGCAGTGCATTTAGAAGTCAGGGTGGACTGTGACTTGTTTTTCTCATGCCAGTACCGATTAAGAGCTGACATGAACCACAGCTAAGCCCACTGCCAGTGAGAAAGAAGATGTCAGTGAGCTCAAATGTCACACCCCTCTAAATTTAGTGTGTGTCGAGTGTTCAGCAGAAAGAGGCATGAAATTGCAACTCCAGGTTGTAAGATTATGAAGAAGGGTTCCTGACACTTGGAAGAAACTGTGTTTCTCTCTTGTAGACGTAGAGGAGGAGAAACCAAAGTCCCTTGACATTTGAAAAGAAAAAAATGTAGTGAAGAGGATAGGGAAGAAGAAATCTAGGGCAATGGTGCAGGCAGTAAGGAGAGAGTGCTGGCCGTCCCACAGACTGGGCAGGGAGGGCAGAGGGAAGGGGTCTCTGTGCAGGAATGGAGCATGCATTTGGAAGCAACAAAATTCACTGGGCGCTGACTCGTTGGGCTTGAAATGTGCAGGTAAACCATGGCCTCACTGCAAAAGATCATCTTCCTCTCCTCAGGAGAGGAGACCTTTGGTCAGTCTGTCCTGCTGTGCCTTCTGGAAGTAATCAGAAAGTACATGTTGTAAGAAAAGCCCTGCCCAAGGGCTTGGATTTCCTAAGCAGGGAGGGAACAGGTTCTTGAGGCCTTATTTTTAACCCATATTTGTTTCTTGGGAAGATTATTCCTGCCGGAGGGATTGAGTGAAGGGACCAGGTGGGGAGGAGCAATTTAGTGCAATCAGCAAAGCTTGTCATTCAAGATCCTGCCTGTGGTTCTTTTATTAAGACAGACTTATGGAAGAGAAGACAGTACAGTATTTTGCTGTATTCTGATAAAGAAAATTTTTGAATTTAAATAAAAATATCCAAGGGTGGTTACCGCATTTTGATTGTAGAGAGGTTCTGCAAAGAAACAAAACCAATACACTACGTAAATTATGTAAAATAGAAATTTATTATGGTTATTCGCTCATACATTTATGGAGGCCAAGAAATCCCATGACAATAATGTGCAATATGGAGACCCAGGAAGTCCAGGGATGTAATTCGGTCTTAGCATGAAGGCCTTGACACCAGGAGAGTGATGGCAGAACTCCTAAGGTAGGAGGAGACCTCAGGGTTGAAGAAGCAGGAGGGGGAAAAGAACCAGGGACCATAATGATACAAGCTCTGGAACCTGAAGACTCCCTAACCATGGGTCAGCTCATGACAGAAGGAGAATTTGCCCTTCCTCTGCCTGGTTATTCTGTTTGAACTCTCAATGGATTGCATGATACTTGCCTATGTTGCTAAGGGCCATGTACTCTCAGTTTACTCACCCATATTATGGCCTCTTACGGAGATGCCCTCAAAGTCATACCTCTAAGTAATGTTTTACCAGCTATCTGAGAATCCCTTAACCCACTCAAGGTGATAAAGCAACTAGCACCCTTGTAAAAGTGACTCTGATTTTGTAAGATGAGGAAGTTTTTGGAATCATGGATCTGAGCAGTGAGTAGGGACTTGGGCTGTCCTCTAGTTCAGTGTTTCTTGACTTTGATAGCATACAGGTCAGGTCCCTTTTAATAGGTGAAGAAAGATATATGTCTTACTGCTGGCCTAATTATTTTTATAATATGTACCTACGGGGAAAAGTCACATAGTTATTACAGCTTTATTCAGTCTTTTTTCTCCTTCTAAAGTTTTAAAAAAATGAAATTGGCAAATAATTGTGTGTATTTAAGGTCTAAGGTCTAAAACATGCTATAAAAAGAAATCTGTGTACACACTAGAGATTCAGTGGAAGGAATTAACATATCTGTCTCTTTAACAGCATATCTTTTCAAAAGAAAGTTAAAGATTATTCTTTTAGGGCCGGGGATTTAGCTCCGTGATTCTAGTGCCTTCCTCACAATTGCAAGGTCCCACGTTCTATCCCTGGTAATAAAAAAATAAATAAATAAATACATATATAAATTCAGGAAATTTTCTGAATTCACAGAGAAAATATAATAATCAGATTATTAACACTGGTCTGAAGGAGAGCATGCTTTACTGAAATTGAAAAGGAGCAGTAGTTACCTGGAGATTATTTTATTGTTTAGCATTTTCATACTTATGTGTCTTGGAAAGACTTTTTTCTCTTCAAATCTGCCTTCACTTTTGTGCCATGATGTCTTGAACCTGAAAGAAATAAGCTATTTTGGTAGTTTCTCGTTATTCACGATCATAAGAAGAAGATCTCTGCTGCCAGGATAATCATGCAATGTGGTAGGAGCCATTTAGTTCTAAAAGCAAGTGTCTAGTTGGAGAACAGACTTCACAGACATAAGCACATAAAATAATTCAAGTAGAGAAGTCCCAGATCCTTGGGAAGATCTGAGGATCCCAGGTGGCCTGGTGATTATGTTATGAGGTACAGTTTCTGACCAGTTATGATTTTCTGGAAGAATCTTTTTGGGAATCTTAGAAGGAATGACTTTAGAGACAGTCCTGCCTGAATTTCTGATGTAACCCAGACAGTTTTATTTCCTATATTAGAGTTTTTCCAGAACTTTCATTTAGAGCAGGGTTTTGATGCTATATCACTGAAGGGTGCATTTGTCTACAGGTCAGTAGACCTTGCTGGAAGAAGTCCAAACCTGAAGGGGCTTTTTGTGCATACAGATGTCCATCAGACTGACACTGCCTAGGACTGTGGCGACACCTCAGCCTCATCCTAGGTTATCAGAGCTTCCTTGCTAGCCATTTAAACTTCTCACCGCATTGTCCTCTGCAGGTGTCTTGTTCAAGTCAGGGCAAAAGCAACAGGACACAAGAGGAAAGCTGTCTCTCCTCTTGACCTTTTACTGCTTTAGTCAGGGAAGAGTGGCCTTCCTTGTAGACAAGTTCATCTGACTCCGAGTACATAGATCAAATTGGACCACCTGCCTACTGATGAAGCACAGGCCTCATGCTGATGTAGCCTGGTCTTATTTTACTCTCTGACTCTGGAGTAGCAACAAAGGCAGCAGATGATTCTTGGACCTTGACTCTTGAGTGTGTGGGAGTAGAGTACATATTCTGTACATGGACTCAGCAATGACAGTGGAGTGATATTTTGGAAACTAGAACAGGTACCATTATACTGAGAAAATCCCTCAGAAATCTCCTAGTTTTCTGGTATCCACTGGGTCTGATACTATATTTGGAGAATGCCAGTATTTCTCAACATCCCCTCCACAATTCTGTTGAAGCCAACCAGGAGCTGGTTCACAAAAGAGCATTCTTTACGCAGTGCTGTGGCTGGGTCTCTTGTCTATGGTACGAATCCCCGGAGAGCACTGGTGGCAGATACCACCATAGCACAGCCTTGAGCCTCACGTTGCCACAGGGCACCCTCTGGCGTTCTGTTTGAAGTCCTAGCAGATTGAGCGAAATGTGCATCTCTGTACTGTGTAACCCATCGTCCCTGTCATGGCCTCTTGGGCCACATCTGAGGGCAGTGATGGTCCTTGGTGCAGAAATGGGTATGAGTGAGAGATACATGTAGACAGGGTTGGAAATCTTGAAGTAGGTCTTTGCTGGTCTCAGGATGTTAGTTTTTTAAAGTACCAGA